GGCCCTGAGAAGACCTCAGAAGCCGGTTTTGCTCTGGAGGGCTTAGATTGCCAGACGTTTTGAAGCCTGGAATGAAAAACTGCGTGTTTGAGAAAGATTGAAATCTGTGCAGTCCTTGATTTATTTATTTATTTTTAATATTTTTATTTGGTTTTTAAACATTTTACATTCCAATAACTTATTCACAGATATCTTAGAGTCTTATACATTTAACATTGCTATCCAATCATATACCTTAGACCATCTTTTATTGTATACACTTTCATTTTTACTTTGCAACATCAAGCTCAGATTATCCATTTGTGCTAGTTCTAACACTTTCACAACTAGCTCCTCCCTGGTCGGTATTGTATCTAGTTTCCAGTTTTTGGCCAACAATATACGTGCGGCGGTTATTATATAAACAAGTATGTATTTATCCTGCTGGCTATATCCTTTTGGGTATTATGTTTAATAGGTATATTTCAGGTTCCAACGCCAAGTTTTTATCCATTACTTCCTGAATTATCCTTCTCACCATTTTCCAATATCTCTGGGTTTTATTACACGTCCACCACATGTGGAAATAGGTCCCTGTATTGCTCTTACACTTCCAACATTGACTGGAGTAGCTAGGATAACATTTAGCTATCTTTTCAGTCCTTGATTTATTGTAAGCATAATCTTAGTTTAACAAACAGTTAAAATTTGCATCATTTATAGCGTAGCATATAGAATTGCTCTTTTGGGGCATGATTGTGAAATTTTTAAGTATAAATGCAAGAGCAGCCCTAAACAGTTACAACCCTCTGCTTAGGACTACACTGTCAGTTTTCTATAAAGCAACATTGCTTGTGTGCTTCATGCTACAGAGGGAGAGGGAGACTGTGGACTACAGACTTCGGCGTCCTGTGCACCCTTAGCACAGGCACGTAGTTTCTGCCCTCTGAGGAGAAGGGAAGAAAACAAAAGCTAATTTTGCAGCAAAGAAAATAAAGTAAATTTAGGCATGCAGTCTCAGTCACAGCAAGGGCCAGCAGTATATATAGACATGGAGTTAAAAAAATTTAACATTGAGGTATTCAGTGGTGTATTATCATAATACACACCACAGCAAATAAATTGTGGACAAAATGAGCCATGCATGCTTAAATAATAAAAATACACTGTGCGTGTCTACAGTACACATGAGAATTCTCCTTCTCTAATGCTGTAGATTTGTCTTGCATGTAAACCTTTGTACTATGCATTCAGCATGAGTTAAAACCTTGTCTTAAATGGCATTTTACTCATTCCAATAGAGACAGTATCTCACAGGAGTTCTGGTTGGTGCTGTTATGGAAGGAAGCAGGGGGTTGCCTTTCCTTGCTGAAAAGGTCCTTTTAGACAGAGGGTTCCCTGGAAAGGGATCTCCTGAGACCACCTCAGGAGATCCCAAAGGGATCTGTCAAGGATGGGCAAGTGGGCGTCAACATGGCAAATGGGGTTCAATGTGGCCAAGTGCAAGGTGATGCACATTGGAGCCAAAAATCCTAAATATAAATACACGTTGATGGGGTCTGAACTGGCAGAGACTGATCAAGAGAGAGATCTTGGAGTTGTAGTGGATAACTCACTGAAAATGTCGAGACAGTGTGTGACTGCAATAAAGAAGGCCAATGCTATGCTGGGGATTATTAGGAAGGGTATTGAAAACAGATCAGCCAATATCATAATGCCCCTATATAAATCAATGGTGCGACCTCATTCGGAATACTGTGTGCAGTTCTGGTCACCACACCTTAAAAAGGATATTATAGCTTTGGAAAAAGTGCAGAAAAGGGCAACTCGAATGATAAAGGGGTTGGAACACTTTTCCTATGAGGAAAGGTTAAGGCGCTTAGGGCTCTTTAGCTTGGAGAAACGACGACTGAGGGGTGACATGATTGAGGTTTATAAGATTATGCATGGGAAAGAGCAGGTAGAGAAAGAGGTACTTTTCTCCCTTTCTCACAATACAAGAACTCGTGGGCACTCCATGAAATTGCTGAGCGGTCGGGTTAGAACGGATAACAGGAAGTACTTCTTCACCCAAAGAGTGATTAACCCTTGGAATTCACTGCCACAGGAAGTGGTGGAGGCTACAAGCATGGACGGCTTCAAAAGGGAATTAGATAAGCATATGGAGCAGAGGTCCATCAGTGGCTATTAGCCACAAGGTATAGATAGGGGCTCTGGGGCAAGTGATGCTCTGTCATCTTGGTGCTTGGGGGGGTCAACAGTGGGAGGGCTTCTAATGTCCTGGCCCCACTGGAGGACCTCCTGATGGCACTGGTATTTCTGGCCACTGTGTGATACAGAGTGTTGGACTGGATGGGCCTTTGGCCTGATCCAACATTGGCATCTCTTATGTTCTTATGTTCTTATGTTCACCTAGACAGGCCCACTGAGAAGGTACCCTCTAGCCCAGTACTGAAGCAATAGCAAATTGACAGGGTAGAAAACCTAGTAAATACCTTATAACAAACTGTGCAGTCTAGCACCTGGGGAAGAGATTCAGAGAAATATCCCAGAAAAATAGGTCTCACTAAACTAAGCAAAAAAAAAACTTTACAAAAAGTTTATTATAAAAGAGAAAAACAAATAAAAAACAATACAGTTGATCTCAGCTAGCATGTTACCTAAGCTGCATCAGGTTCCTCAGAGCGTGTACAGAGTTTCTTGCAGTAACAAAATGTTGGAGGAGTCTTTAACCCCTACCCAAACTGTTGTAGAACCCAGTTTCTGCCAAAAACAAGGGGAAATTCCAAATGTCCAGATATTTATGGTTGGTGGAACCTGACCTCAGCCAGCCTGCTTTCTAAGCGTGACCAGTTGATTTAGCCATTCCCATGCAAAGCCGCATCTCTGATGTCAAAGGCTAACCTTACCAACTAGAAGATTACAAGAACGATAGTCTCACCCCACTACGTAGTTTGATTATGACTTCCATGACAAACAGGCGGTCTGGCCAAAACTGGCTTGTCGTATGTACAAAAAGGATTAAGGCTGACAGGATGGCCCAATGTGAAATGGAAACGAATGGGTTATTCTAATGTGAACCCCAGGAGTCCAAGATCCCAGGTGCTTTTGGATTTTTGCATTTGTGCGTGTGCCTGTGCCTGGAAATCATGGTGACCTCTGGCGACTCCTACTGGGGCATGGAGGATGTTCAGAGAAGTGGTTTTCGGGGGGGGGGGGAATTATCCGCAATCTCTGCTATTTACGCTTCTCCTAAGGCTAAATCATCAGGACTCAGAGGCATTTGTTTTGCAACGCGGTACTAGGCAAGGCTGTCCCTTGTCGCCTTCACTTTTTGCCCTGGCGATAGAACCACTGGCAGACGCGATTCGTAAAAACAAATCCATACAGGGAGCCAAAATAAAAGATAGAACTTTCAAATTGTCCCCTTTTTGCAGATGACATGTTTTTATTTATGACTATCTCCCTTATCTAGGGATTAACATTCCAGTAGACCTGAAAAGGAGCTGCGGTGGCTCAAGTGGTTAAGACGCTGAACTGCAGGCTGTGGAAGGTCAGCAGTTCAGCAGTTCAAGACCCGGGTGCCGCATGATGGAGTGCGCTCCCGTCTCTAGTTCCAGCTCCTGCCAACCTAGCAGTTCGAAAGCAAGAAATTGCAAGTAGATAAATAGGTACCACTTCGGTGGGAAGGTAACAGCGTTCCGTGCGCCTTGGTGTTTAGTCGTGCCGGCCACATGACCACGGAAACGTCTTCGGACAGCGCTGGCTCTTCGGCTTGGAAACGGAGATGAGCATTGCAACCCTAGAGTCGCATTCGACTGGCTTTCGAGCAAGGGAACCTTTACCTTTACTTTTTAGACCTGAAAAACATAAGAAAATACAACCATGAAAAAATCCGGCGCTTCCCGACCCAACCGCAGCAGTAGCAGGGCCCCCTCCCACCCACCCAGGGTCGGCAGCTGGCGGGTTCCAGGGCAGAAGGGCAGCCTCTGCTGCTGGAAGGAGCACCCCCTTCCTGCGGGCAGAGCAGGGCAGGGGAACTACCAAATGCCGCGGCCACCTTTGGGTCCAGGCAGCAGGGCTCGGTCACCAAAGGAGGGAGGGAAGGCTGGCCCATCCGTCTCCCTTCGGGGAGGGGCTGCCATTCGCCTGCCGGAGCCCCCCCCCCGCGTGAGTGAGCCCCACCGCCTCGTTGTCCTCGCCTTGGCCAGCACGCCTGGCCATGCGCTCCCCCTCCTCCTTTTGGCGCCGGGGCTGGTCGGGAGGGCATGGGTCGCCCAGATTGGCTGCCAGCCCGCCAAGGAGGGCTGCTCGTCCCCACCGTCAAAGCCAGGAGGGCGCGGGTGCGCCGGTGAGTCTTGCAGCCTCTCTGCCTGCGCCCCCTCCCTTACCTGGCCACTTCGGGGGATGCCCGGACAGGCTCTTGCGGCGCCTCTGCTTGGCTTGGGCCGAGGGAGCGTGCCGGGGTCCCCTGGACAAGCTCGCCTGAGGGGGGGCACCACAAGCTAGCCCCGCCTAGGGTGCGAAAAAACCTCGGGCCAGCCCTGCCTGCCTCTGCCTCCTGGCCCTGGTATCCTTTGGAGGTCTCCCATCCAAAATACTCCAAGTGGCACTCGTGAGCCCAAGAAAGGTTTTAGGATTTCTGTCACAGGTGCTCCCCAAATGTTTCAAATCTTCCACCAGAAAATCTACGGCAAAGTCCTGTGGGGTAGGGCAGGAGGGGAGTGGTATTTCTAAATTTTTCCAGCCTTTCCCATCTCTTGGCAGGGTCTCTGCCATTTTATTTGAGAGCATAGTATTTTATCCATCACTGAAATCTTGGGAGCTTTTCTGATAATGGATGCCGATGGGCATCGGGCTTGGTTGTAATGGTTGATCTGGTGTTTTGTTGGGTGAGCTTCTTGCAGCCTGCTTTTCAGGGAGGAAAGGTGGGATATTTTAAACTAATAAATATAGTGCTGCCTGCTCCACATCCAGAGCTGGTAAACCCTCTGGGTACGTACATAAGATTGCCCAGAATAATGTGGATTACAACTGGAGAGGCTGTCCACACGTGGATGCTTCCATGCGTGTCAGATGACGAGAAGTTCCCAGGACTGGGGGAGGGAGTCCAGCCTCTGGGTGTGAGGGTGAGGCAAGGGCAGCAGGTACGAGTACTCCACCCCGCTTTTGTTTCCCCAGTGTGTCCCACCGCATGCAAGTCACAGGGCTGCCACCAGGACGGCCGGTGTTGCCACTCAGAGTGCCTGGGCAACTGCCTGGAGCCCAACGATCCGGGAAAGTGCGTCGCTTGCCGGAACTTCAACCTGGAGGGCAAGTGTGTCGAGACGTGCCCACCCGGCTACTACCGTTACAAAAGCTGGCGCTGTGTGACTTTTGACTTTTGCCAAGAGCTGCACAACAAGTGTAAGATCGCCCGGCAGTCTGGGTGCCACGTCATCCACAATAACGAGTGCGTTCCCGACTGCCCCTCGGGATACACCGTCAACTCCAGCAGGTGAGTTGTTCCTCGTCGGTCAGCAGTCTGTCTTTGTCAGCAAAATGCTTCTCTTCTCCCCCGGCCCCAGGGAATCTCCCCAGAGCCAGGGTCTCTCAGGCACTCAGGCACCTGTCGCAGCGGTTGGGGCAGGCTCTAGCAGGGGGCAGAATAGGCAACAGGGACGCTTCACTGGGAGAAAGGAGCCTGTCTGTTGGGACAGAGGTTCCCACGGCATGCCAGTGACGGGACTGGGATCAGGGGAAGAGGAGGCATTTTAAAGGAAAGTGGCTGGAAAAATCTTCCTTCAAAATGGAGGAGAAAAACTATTTCAAATCAAAGTAGCAAATGCAGGGTCTATGGTGCAAATGGAAAGAGCTGTCGACGTGCAGCGTTCAGAGATGCTCTGCCACTGCACAGTGGCCCTGAACTCCCTTGGTGGTCTCCCATGCAAGTACTAACCAGAGCTGACCTCGCTTAGCCTCCAGGATCTGAAGAGATCTGGCTAAGCTGGGCCATCCAGGTCGGGGCGTAACGTGTATACGTCTGTGAAAACTCTGGTAGTATTGTAGGGCCGGCACTAGAGGGCGCTCCATCCCAGCCAGAAATGTGAAGAGCCCTAGAAGGCTTCCTTTTGTGTAGGCATTTCCAGAACATAAAAGGTAAAAGTAAAGGTTTCCCTTGCTCGAAAGCCAGTCGAATCCGACTCTAGGGTTGCGGTGCTCATCTCCGTTTCCAAGCCGAAGAGCCAGCGCTGTCCGAAGACGTTTCCGTGGCCATGTGGCCGGCATGACTAAACTCCAAGGCGCACGGAACGCTGTTACCTTCCCACCAAAGTGGTCCCTATTTATCTACTTGCAGTTTCTGCCTTTTCCCAAAAAATTGCTGCCCATTGGACAGGTCTGCAGGGGTTGTTTTTAAGCATGCGGAGGCTAGAAACGGAAAGTGCTCCAGACTCTCTCTCTGGGCATATACAGTGAACTCTGTGAAAGCAAGGGGCTACACGTAGTAAGCCTAGGTTTGTGTGGTGCTCAGGTGCATCCCAGAAGGGACACACACACACACACACACACACACCCAGCGTTTGTGCAAGATCTGGAGATCTTATTTTCAAGCATTAACTTTCAACATCGTTTGATTTGCGCTACGACTCTGCACCTCATCTAACAAGAACCACGTCTGCAGTTACTTTTAATAAAGAGTTAAAGGCTGCTTAGTGTTTCTGAGGCTTGGGATTCCTTCAGATTCCCCATTTTCTGGAATGAGGAGCCGTGGGGCTTGCCCTCCACATGCTCTCTTCTCCCTTTCTCTGTCAGTTGGTCCTTGATCCCTCCAGCCGTCCCTAACTGCGGCCTGGTGCGCAATGCTGAGCACGTCCAGGGCATTCTGGTTTCCCAGCAGCTCCCCGTGTTTGTTGGCCCTCCAGGCCCACCGGGTGGCTGCCGGGTGGAACAGGATCCTCGACGAGGTGTGTACCCTCATTGGCTGGACTCTGATGCAGCAGGGCTGTGCTGACCTCCTCCTTTTTCTTGCCATCAAGTCAAGATGACTTCTGGCGACCCCTAGTGGCGCTTGGAGGCAAGGGACGTTCAGAGGTGGCTTGCCATCGCCTGCCTCCGCCTCACGACCCTGGTATTCCTTGGAGGTCTCCCATCCAAGTACTAGCCAGGGTTAGCTCTGCTGAGCTTCCAAGATCTGACGAGATCGGGCTTGCCCGGGCTATCCAGGTCAGGGTGGTTCTTCTGATGTTCTTATGCCACCGGGCATTACCTTCTCCTCCTCCCCCTGGCACATGCCAGGCTTGTTCGCTTCATTGTCTGTTTATTTACAAAGCAGTCCTCCAAAAAGAGCAGATAGTTGTGAACGGGATTTTCTTGGGGCTGTGGTGGCTTGCTGTTCCACCGGACCATTGGCTTGTTGCCAAACTATATCAGAGCCCCTTGGCTCCTGAGTCTCCTTCCTGGTGTTTTGCCCTTCAGAGCAAACCAGCAGCCCCCAGAACCTGGAGATCTGAGGGCAGACCTTTCCCATGCATGCCTCTGCCCAAGCGGCTGGCTGGGCTGGCTGTCCACCACAAAGCTCTCTGGGGATGTGTCCTCAGTTCCTGATTTTGGTAGGGAAGGAGGGGACGTGGAGTCCCTCTGAAGTGCTTCTCGTGCATGGCTGGGTTTAGTAAGGCCATGTGCTGCTAGTTGGTCTAGATCAGAAGTGGGGAGAGCCACACCACATAACTTGAGAGGAGGGAGGGGGTCACATTCCTGAATCCTCCTCTCTGTCTGAGGCAAAAGAGAACTGCTGCCCCCCCCTCAGTTGTGGGTGCAGATCCCCCTCACCTTGCCCTTGGTTCTCTGTTGTTGTAGGAAGGTTGTGGTGGAGGGCAGAGTTAAGATGGCTGTAGCTGCCACTTGCTGAGCTCCTAAGCTTTCTGTCTCTCCCCCCCCCCCCCCCGGTTTCGCACTCCCTGTGCAGGGCCCTGCCCCAAAATTTGTGACTTCACCAGTCCAAAGATGATTGACTCAGTGACTGCGGCGCAGGAGCTACGAGGCTGCACTATTGTGAATGGGAGCCTGGTCATCGGTATCCGTGGAGGAAGTGAGTGTTGTGCCCCGTTGGTTCGGCTGCACAGAGCGGTTGGCAGCAAAGCTGCCAAAGAGAGGGTGTGATTTGGGGAAAGGGGTACCAGGGACCTATTCTTGGCACGCCTGGTTTGGGGGACCCTGAAGCGTTCTCAGTTTGACATCCAGTCAAATCAGTGGTGGTACCAAGTTCCTTCCTTGGATGCTTATGGGGAGGGGAGCCTTGGTCAGAATGTTGTGGCTCCTGAACGAGGAAAGGCTAAGGGCCCTGGGAATGTTTAGTTTGGAGAAGAGGAGATTGAGGGGGAACATGATCGCTCTCTTTAAATATCGGAAAGGCTGTCATTCGGAGGAGGGCAAGGAGCTGTTCCAGTTGGCAGTAGAGGAGAGGACCCAAAGCAACGGGTTTAAGTTACGTGCAGAAAGGTATCGGCTGGATATTAGGAAACATTTTTTCACGGTCAGAGTGGTTCAAAGGTGGAATCAGCTGCCTAGGGAGGGGGGTTAGCTTTTGAGAAGAGGCTGGGCGAATATTTGTCAGAGATGCTTTAGGCTGGTCCTGCACTGGGCAGGGGGATGGACTAGATGGTCTGTACGGCCCCTCCCGACTCTGTGATCCTATGATTCTTGTGTTCTGCCTCCTTAGGCAACATTGGAGCAGAGCTGGAATCCAACCTGGGCTTGATAGAAGAAATCACGGGCTACCTGAAGATCAGTCGTTCCTATGCCCTGGTCTCCCTCTCCTTTTTCCGCAAGCTCCGTCTGATTAGAGGGCAGACTTTAGAAATCGGGTGAGTTGGCTTTGAGGGATCTCTCCATTTAAACTGACCTTTGCAAAGGAGTCTGAGAATACCAGAGAACAGGGAAAAAGGGGGGGGGGGGCGGCAGCAGCCGCAAGGGGCACATTTCGGCTTGTGGGCTGCCTCCTCCTCCCCCGTTTCTCTTGCTGGAAGCCGAGGGCAGTAACCGGCCATGTTCTCGAAGGGCAGCCTTCCAGGGCATTTGGCCTGTGTCCAGAGCGGAGAGGTTGACCAGCCCCCCCCCTTTTGCCTTGCAGGAACTATTCCTTCTACGCGCTGGACAACCAGAACCTCCGCCGGCTCTGGGACTGGAGCAAGCACAACCTCACCATTGCCCAGGGGAAGCTCTTCTTCCATTACAACCCCAAGCTGTGCCTTTCGGAGATCCACCAGATGGAGGCCATCTCTGGGGCCAAGGGGCGCCAGGAGAAGAACGACATCGCCCACAAGACCAACGGCGACCAGGCTTCTTGTAAGGCCTTGCGGCTGGAGCGAGGGGCTGCCTTGCAGGAAGGGGCTGGGGCGGGCTGGGGCGAGCAGGCCTGCAGGAGGCTCAGGAGGGGCAGCTGGCTGAGCTCAGCCACTGCAGAGAGCAAGACATTCTGCTCATGCGCAGGAGCACCCCTTGGGGCTTGTATATCCTTGTGTAGGACATAATTGTGGCCGATGCTGATTGGACAATTTTAGTCCTAATGATGATATATTATTAATAATACTAACAGAATTGCTGCCGAAATGTAGAAACCTTAATCAGTCTTGTGGGTTTTATGCATGCTGGAGTAGCTAAAATTGCACACAAGGGGACCCACTCATCCCAAAAGGCCTTGTCTTCTTTGAGTTCAGTGTGCCATTGCAAGAAGCGCTGTCTTGGAAGAGGCATGCTCCCTTCTGTCTTGGGAGGGAATGCTTCTTCTCAGACACCCTGTGTCCGGTGCAGAACCTCTCTCCCTCTGTGAGAGGTGGGAGCAAGGAGCAGCAGGCCTGGCTTGTTTCTGTGGGGTTTGTTTCGAAGCAGCAGACTGGCTGTCAGGGCCCATGCTTGGATCATGCCTGGCTGCCTTTGTTTTCTCAGCTTAGAAAACTCCCAGGCCAATCAGTCGAATTGGAAGCCTCCTGTTTGATTACACGCTTCTTCAGTTTAGCAAAGCAAAATCATCTCTCTCCTGCATGAGTCGAATTGGAAGCCTCCTGTTTGATACACGCTTCTTCAGTTTAGCAAAGTAAAATCATCTCTCTCCTGTGCCTGAGGCTGTTGCCAGGCTGGCAGATAATCAGTGTGGGGAATTTGGCTGGCTTCTTTGCCATTTGGCCACTCCTGCGTCTGCGCAGCTTCATTCTCTGAAGACAATGGAACACTTTTTCACACACGCAGATATACATGCGTCTCTCTCTCCCCTGCCCCAGTAGGAAATTCAGCCTGTCCACTGAAGTTCATCTCCTTGCTATGTTGAAATGTCCTGTGTTTTAGGTTGCTGTTGGTGGACTTCTTGACCACTTTCCTTTTGCCCTTCTGCTGTCCTGTGGTCTCATTTGCAGAGCTTGCGCTGATGAGTCTGGCAGGTCCAGACACCGCCCCCCCCCCATTGCCTTCCTTCCCAGGGGCCTCCATCCCTGGAGTCCTACACATTATCAGGCTGGCCTTTCCCGACCCCAGAGAGGCAGTCCTCTTTCTCTCACAGAGGTGTCATATGTGTGTATGTGCTGACACAAATCTTGTGTCCCCTTCTGCAGGTGAGAATGATGTGCTGAAATTTTTCTTCATCAAGACAGACAGTGACAAGATTGTGCTCAAGTGGGAGCCCTACTGGCCACAAGACTACCGTGATCTCCTTGGATTCATGCTCTTATACAAGGAAGCGTGAGTAAACCAAACCGTTGTGGAGGTTAGAGCTGCCAGACATCTCAGCTCTGTGGCCTGAGAAGACAGGGGCTGGGAAAGGCGCCCATGTTGCGAGAATTCCCCACTCCCAGGAAGACAGTCTGTCTCTAACAAAGACGACAGTGTGTGCACAGGCAGGGTGAACAGGAGTGGGAAATAAGTTGGCCTATGTGCTGTGAACAGCAAGGAGAACAGTCTTGTAGATCACTGGCTAGCCTGACCTTGGAGAAAGAGCTCTTCCCCTCTCCACGTCTCTGGACTTCTCAGTCTCTTTGCTGCCGTTCAGGGTATAGCAAGGAGCATCCGCCAGGTGCCAGGACTTGTGCTTGGGAGCCCATTGCATTTTTTTGCACTAACGGCCAGTTTGGTGTAGTGGTTAAGTGCATGGACTCTAATCTGGGAGAACCGGGTTTGATTCCCTACTCCTCCACTTGCACCTGCTGGATGACCTTGGGCAAGCCATAGTTCTGACAAGAACTGTCCCGGAAAGGGCAGTTTCCCTCAGAGCTCTCTCATCCCCACCTACCTCACAGGGTGTCTGTTGTGGGGAGGGAAAGGGAAAGGAGTTTGTAAGCCGCTCTGAGACTCCGAATGAAGGGCAGGGTATAAATCCAATCTCTTCTTCTCTTCTTCTTCTCTTGTTTCTGGGGCCAGCCCCTTTCGGAACGTGACAGAGTTTGACGGCCAGGATGTCTGCGGCTCCAACAGCTGGATGGTGGTGGATATCGATCCTCCTCCACGGACAGTCCAGCCAGGGTGGCTGCTGCGGAACCTGAAGCCCTGGACCCAGTACGCCATCTTCGTGAAGACGTTGGTCGCCTACTCTGATGAGCGCAAGTCTTACGGGGCCAAAAGCGAGATCATCTACATCCAGACCAATGCCTCCAGTGAGTGTCACTGCCTGGAATGAGGAGCAAGCCGCTTGCAAAGGCCTTCCTGGGTCGAGGGAGGCTTGGCCTTCCTGCCCGCTTTTCCGGCTGTGTTGTAGCGACCTCACAAATGCCGGAGGGTGGCCGCATCAGTCTGTTGAAGCAAAATCAAGCAGAAGAGTCCATGAATTAGAGCCTGTTTTCTCTGATGTGCAAACTATTACCACTGTTGGCCTTTACAATACACCAGGATCAAAAGGATCTAAAGGGTGTTTCTGTGTGGGACTCAGATGTTGTCCAGGTAGTCCATGGTGACTGCAGAGCCTCCCTTGTTTTGGTGAGGTGATGAATGCCTGTAGTGGGTGAGGGACAAGAGGGCCTAATGTAAGCCGCACTGCCAAATCTCTTGACAGATTCTCATTGTGATGCTGAATTTGCGTCTCTGAAGGACAGTTGAAGAATGGTGTGTTCAGGGAGACCGGCATATTCTCCCACTGATTTCTGAACAGCACCGTTTTTTGCACTCCAGGCGTGTGTGCGTCCGTTTATGCATTTGTGTAGAGACTGTTCTAATCTCCTAGCCAGCAGAAGGGCACTGGGGGGGGGGCAGGCAGTGCTATCCTTTGTGGTGATGCCAGGCTCCTCTTCCCCCTCCAGTGCCTTCCGTCCCACTGGATCCGTACTCTGTTTCCAACTCCTCGTCCCAGATCATCCTGAAATGGAAGCCTCCCGCCGAGCCCAATGGGAACATCACGCACTACAGGGTGTCTTGGGAACAGCAAGCGGAGGACAGTGAGCTCTACGAGCTGGACTACTGCTTGAAGGGTAAGAGGCTCTGGCTCCTTCCCACTTTGCTTGGCCAGCCCTGTGCTCTGCTCTGGCTGCCACACTTGATGGGGTCCCCAGGAGGACTGGTGATGATCTCAGATTGCCTTTCCCCTAGAGGCCGAGCCAGGGGGCTGGGGGGGCAGAGCCTTTCCTGCAGTCCTGCCCCCAAGTTACAGCTCTCCACCAGTGTTCCCTCTAAGCTGAGTTAGTGTGAGCCAGCTCACAGTTTTTTAGCCTCCAGGTCACACATTTTTGCCTTAGCTCAGGGAGGAGGGCTCCAGAGCAAACCGATTCGTGCAGCAGCCGAATCGCTCGCTCACAAGCTTTAATGCCAGTAGCTCACAAAGTAGGATTTTTGCTCACAGGACTCCACAGCTTAGAGGGAGGATTGCTCTCCACCCCCTGCACAGATTTTGCCTTCGTCTTATCAGGCGCCAGGCAAAGTCTGCGCTCCCCCCTGAGCTTCAGCAGAGCGTTTCTTAATGGTTTTGTCATGGCTGTTGTTGGGGCAGGTCCCCTTGTTTGTTATTGTGAATTATGTCTGTTGCTGAACTGATTAATAATTGCTCCTTCCTGCCATTCTGATGTTTATGTATTTTGCAAGTTTCCCTGAATATTGCTGGTTGGACCCCGCAGGTCTGTTCTGCTCGCAGTGGCCCTTCCTTCCAGCACCAGAGGCTCCTTGTGCCCCGAGGGATGCCCCTTTGCTAGTAGGATGTATCTGCAGTGTCCCAGCCCATGCTTGGCGGAACTGCGAGGGAGACATTTTGTAATGCCACCCCCTCCCCTGAAAGGGCAGCAGACAGTAGGACCTTGCTAGGCCTCGTTTGTCACTCGCAGGTGCCCTTTCTTCCCATCCCGCCAGGATGCTCACCTCGGTCTCCTCCTTAGGATCATAGAATAGAATCATAGAGTTGAAAGTTGACTTCCAGGGTCATCTAGTCCAACCCTCTGCGCAATGCAGGAAATTCACCCACGCTTGAGACCTTTGCTTTGCCCTTGCCCACATGTTGACATTTCTCCTACTTCATGCTAAATTCTACAGCACCGAGCTTCTGGGTGTAGGGATTGACATCATATATTTTTTAAGTGGGTGTAAATATTTAACAATACAATAAAACCTATAGACATACAAACACATACTAACATACAAAACCAGGGAGGGCCAACAAGAGTTTACTTGGGGATGCATCAAATGAAACAAGAAGGTCTTCACCCACTGGCAGAAGACAATGACAGAGGGAGACAGACTTAATTTCCAAAGTGTTGGCACCACAACCAAAAAGGCCCTTCCTTGAGTTGCCATCCTGGCTCAGATGGTGGGAGCACCTGAAGCAAGGCCCCTGGAGACGAACAGGCTTTTCCAGGCCTGTGTTTTCACAAAGTGTCACTTGCTGACTGTCCAATTGGCCTAAGAACTTTTATTCCCAACACTTTAACTCTGTTGACTCTGATCACAGGAAGGTGAAGTGGTACCCAATCCCCATAAATTCACATACCTTTCTCACCCAATAGAAGTGGTTTTTCCAATCCCTTTCCTTTGGAATGTGTTACTTAGAATCATAGAATTATAGAGTTGGAAGGGGCCATACAGGCCATCTAGTCCAACCCCCCAATCAATGCAGGATCATCCTAGATCATCCCTGACAAGTGTTTTTCCGGACGCTGCTTGAAGACTGACAGTGAAGGGGAGCTCACCACCTCCCTAGGCAGCTGATTCCACTATTGCACAACTCTTACTGTAAAAAGGTTTTCCTAATATCCAGCCAGTACCTTCCGGCCCATAATTTAAACTAGTGATTGCGAGTCCTATCCTCTGCTGCCAACAGGAACAGCTCCCTGCCCTCCTCTAAGTAGCAGCCCTTCAAATACTTAAAGAGAGCAATCATGTCCCCCCCTTAACCTCCTCCAGACTAAACATTCCCAAGTCCCTCAGCCTTTCCTCCTAGGGCTTGGTCTCCAGGCCCCCAATCATCCTCGTCACTCTCCTCTGCACCCGCTCCATTCTGTCCACATCCTTTTTGAAGTGAGGCCACCAGAACTGCACACAATACTCCAGGTGCGGCCTGACCAATGCAGTGTACAGCAGGACGATGACATCTTGTGATTTGGGTGTTATCCCTCTGTTGATACACCCCAAGATTGCATTAGCCTTTTTTGTCCGCACATCACACTGGCTGCTCATATTTAACTTACGGTCCACCTGTACCCCAAGATATTGGTAACACACATTGCTAACCCAGAAGTGTATCCCCCATCCAATATGCGTATTTCTCATTTTTGTTACCCAGATGTAGAACTCAGCACTTAACCTTGTTAAATTGAATCTTGTTCACATCTGCCTGCTTGTCTAGTGTGTTCAGATCCCGTTGAATTCTATATCTTAAGTGTGTTGGCTCCTCCTCCCAATTTGGTGTCATGCAATTTTAATGAGTAGCCCCTCCACAGCCTCATCCAGATCATTTATGAAAATATAGAAAAGTACTGAGCCCAGAACCGAGCCCTGTGGCACCCCACTGGACACCTCCCTCCATTCAGATGAAATGTCATTGACAACTACTCTCTGAGTGCGGTTCTCCAACCAGTTCCCCATCCACCCAACTGTCCTACAGTCCAGTTCACAGTCCTTTAGTTTACCCATCAGAACGTCAGAAGCTTTACTGAAATCCAGGTAAACATCATCAACAGCATTCCCTCGTTCCAGTAAGCTCATCACTCCATCAAAGAACAAAATGAGGTTGGTCTGGCAGGACCTGTTGGGGACAAATCCGTGCTGACTTGTACCAAAGGTCCCCACCATCTCCTACCCCCGTCCAGCCCCCTGCTCAATGCAGGGTCCTACCCCGTGCCCCGCTTTTGTTCTATCCCTTGGGTTGGCCTCAGTAAAAGAAATATGACATGGTTTTGTGACCTTTGGACAGCCTTGTTCCTAAGGGGCCACCCGGGCCCGCTTGCTGCAGCCTGCCGTGTCTGTCGTGCTGCCTCTCAGCGTCCAAAGCAGCCCTTCAAAGACTGGGTGTGAGCTGAAACAGCAGCCATACTGCATCTTGGCCTAAGGAGGCGAAGCAAAAGCACTTGGAGCCAGAGTGTGGCTGGGCTAGGACTGGGGGAAGCCGAGTTCAGATCCCCATGTAGCCATTAAGCTCGAGCCCGTTGCTTATCGCCCAGCCTAACTGGCCCCTAGAAAGTTGTTATGATGAAATGAAGGAGGAGGAAGACCAGGATAAACAAATAGGTATGGGGTTGTGTCCTCTGTGGATCTGATCCTCTGGTGCCAGGAACCTTCTGCTGATGCAAGTCTCAGGTCTGGGGGATCTAACCCGTATATTGCAAAGCAAGGGGCTGTCTGAGGGAATGTAGCTCTTGGGAAAGTGTGGCTGGGCATTGCCCAGGTAGGGACCGCCGCCAAACCAAGCCCCTAGTCACCGCTGGGCTTGGCACTGCTCCCGTGGTGCCTGTTCACTTGCTGGGCTGCTTTTTGAGTCCTGTGCCCCCTTGCAGGCCTGAAGCTGCCCTCCCGGACATGGTCTCCCCCGCCAGAGTCAGAAGATGTCCCAAAGAACAACCACAGCAGGAGTGAGGAGGTCAGCAGCCAGTGTTGCAATTGCCCCAAAACAGACTCTCAGATCCAGAAGGAGGTGGAGGAGACTGCCTTCCGGAAGACCTTTGAGAACTACCTCCACAATGAAGTGTTTGTTTCCCGGTAAGAGAGATGTTGGGTATGCTTCCCTCTCCTCCTGGCTGAAAGGCTGGCTTAGGGTGTCTCTTGTGCAGGAGGAGGAATGGAAGAAGCTAGAATGTGAAAGCATAATGGTTAAGGAGCAGATACGGCTTAGCTCTGGGGATCACTTGTGCCCATGGAGAGTGGCAGGAAGTCGAGGGGCAACGAGACTGTCAGTGTGTGGGAACCTAGAGCCAGGGAGTGGCTGTGGCTCAGCCATGAAAGGACCTCGGAGAGCCACTGCCACTCGGAGGAGATGGTGGGTGGCCAGAGTGATCAATGACCTGGCTCTGTCTGGCATGTACAGGGGGTTGGACTAGATAGCCCTGGAGGTCCCTTCCAACTCTATGATTCCATGATTCTGTGTTCACACCTGCCTGTAAACCAAGGCCTGAGGTGAATGCAAGTTCACAAGGCCTCAGTAGGCTCTGTTCTGTCTCCAGCCAACGAGGAGGTCTTGAGTACTGCCTTGTCCAGGCAGGGGTGGAAGTTAACAGCGTTTAGTGTTCACACTGCTGGACCTGAGCCTCCGAAAGAGCCCCGCGCAAAGGCATTTAGACCAGGGCAGCTGGGGAGGGGCATGTTGTGGCACTTGGCCTTGCCGCCACTTGGTAGACCTTGTCGCCCAGAGCGGCGGTGTATCCATTACCCGGACCGTGTCTGGAGAGAGCTCAGAGATAAGGGGTGCTTTTCTGCAGCCAAAGCGCGGAAGTGCTGCCCCCATCTCCCCGGAGGTGGCTCTTGTTGTTCAGGGTTCGGGAGACGCCTGACCCAGTGGCGTTTTTGGCAGGCCCCTATCTTCAGTCCAGTTGCCGGTTCCGGGGGGGGGGGGGTAGGCTGCCAGGAAAACAGGGTGGATTTATCTAAATAAATCTGTCTCCTGCCTTCCTGCTAAATATTTTTATTTGTTTATTCATTTATTAACTTTATTTATAGTCTGCCTTTCTCACAGGGACTCGAGGCAGATTACTGCCTAGCCAGTAGCGTTGTCTGATCCACCTCTCAGGGCACCTGATTACAATGTCATGTATGCTGTGAATTCAGACGAGGGGAGGTGGGAACAGTGTTGCCCCTGAACACTCGCCGTCACCAGTGGCGAGAAAGCATTTTCTCCTGGTGATTGCCTCTTAAGGCAGTGGGATTTACTGCACTGTGCCTTCCCGAGCACCATAGTTGTCGCTGATTTTACTTTTCAGCCTGATGCCGTTCTGTGCCTCAGAGCAACTGCAGCTGCCTTTGGGGAGCCTTTCTCCTTCCCTTTCTATCCTGATATCTTCTCAGCCAAAAAAAGAGTCCGGAGGAGAAGCACATGTGTCGCTGTGGAAAGCCCCCCTTTTGCCCCTGCTTCCGTGCTGCCTAACAGGCAAGAATAGAGAGCTCTCTTTGAAAGACTGAAATCACGTTTGCTACTGATTTCTGCCAAAGCCCAGCAGCCAGGGGGCTTCAGTGATGTTCCAGTGCACAGGGATTAAGTCTGATGGATTCATGGGGCATGTCTCCAAGTAACGGCACAGAAAAAAACTGCCTTGTACCCAGTCAGGCAATTTTGCCAGCCTTCCCGCCCAGCATCGGGCACCTCAGAGGGTCTTCCCTGCCCTGAGCATGAACTCCCCCTCCCACCGCCACACGCACAGAGACATTTACTTCAGGGAACCTCATGTCAAAAAGAGGACTGTACTGTACAAACTCTTGCCACCACAAACCTATAATGTTATATACTAAAATATTATTTACTAAAATATTTGATATGTAACGTTATTTACTAAAATATTTATACTCCTGGCTCACAGTGGCGATAAAACCGCACAGAGCTCCTTGTTCTTGGAAAACTCGTCAGTCCTCTTCTTCTGGACAGGAATTTAAACAAAATGTCCTAACAGCACTTTTAATAGAAAATATTGATAAGATTAAGTACTATACAGTGTGCATATTTTGGGGTATAAACGAGACCCCATGTGAAAAGAGGCTATGAGTTGAGCCTCATATTTTGTAAAAGAAATTTCCTTGCAAGAGAATTTGAGCTTGTTTTAAAAGTTGCACATTTTCCGACCAAAAAGATTAACAATTTGAAAGGGCAAACTGGTCAAAGTTACAAATGAATCCCCACGTAAAAGTAAAAATTATTTCATGCCTTCAAGATAAGATTGAAGAAAGAAAGCCCTGAAGACAGCGAGTTTAATTCTTAATTACTAAGACAGTATAAGGCCTCATTGGGCTGTTCCTTTAATATGAGTTCGATATCCAGCAGTTTTCAGTTTCGGTTCCATGCCATAAAAAACTTCATCTTCCCTTTTCCCCATTTGAAGCTTCCAATTAAAGGGACAGGTCTTTCTTTTTCATCGGCAACTTTAGAGAGATCCCACACCACCCAACTAGACTGCCTGTCTGTGGGTGAAAAAGAAAATGCTGGAATGCCAGTTTTGTATACGACTTGTATTGTATCCCAAAGCACTGTAAGCAGGAGCAAGCAGGCTGATAGGCTCTTCCCTGCCAAACCATATAGAGTTTGCAATGGAGGGGCAGGGAGAGTTTTACTTATATTATGGGCCAAGTGCTACAGTTTGGAGGAGGAGGAAGGTGGAAGGAGGAGCTAGAACTGTTTAGATCGCTTCCAGTTTGGTTTCAGGCCTGCTTATGGGACTGAAACAGCCTTGAACACTCAGGTGGGTGACTTGCGCCAGGGAACGGGCAGAGGGAACGCGCCTCTTTGATTCTTCTCGGCAGCTTTTGATACCACTAATCATGGCATCCTTCTGGACGTCCTGTCTGGACTGAGAGGCGCTGTTCTGCGGTGGCTCCAATCCTACCTGGAGGGTAGGTTTCATAGGATCCTAGAACCACACAAAGTCACGAGGGGCCCTGCAGGCCATCTAGTCCAGCCCCCTGCTCAATGCAGGGCCAGTGTAGAGCATCCCTGACAGGTGTTTGTCCAGCCGCTGTTCAAAGGCAGCTGATTCCACTATTGCACAACTCTTGATGTAAAAAAGGATTACCTAAAATCCAGCCGGTACCTTCCCGCCCGTAATTTAAACCCATTCTTGGGAGTCCTGTCCTCTGCTGCCAACAGGAACAGCTCCCTACCCTCCTCTAAGTGACAGCCCTTCACTTCGTTTGGTGTAGTGGTTAAGTGCGCGGACTCTAATCTGGGAGAACCGGGTTTGATTCTCCCACTCCTCCACTTGCACCTGGCTGGATGACCTTGGACAAGCCGTAGTTCTGCCACAGCTGTTCTGGAAAAAGACCAGTTTCTGTCACTCAGCCCCACCTACCTCATGGGGTGTCTGTTGTGGGGAGGGGAAGAGAAAGGAAGTTGTAAGCCACTCTGAGACTCCTTTGGGGGGCGGAGTATAAATCCAATCTCCTCCTCCTCCTCCTCCTCCTCTTCTACTTAAAGTGAGCAATCATGTCCCCCTTCAACCTCCTCTTCTCCAGACTGAACATTGCCAAGTCCCTCAGCCTTTCTTCACAGGGCTTGGTCTCCAGGCCCTGATCATCTTCATCACTCTCCTTTGCGCCCACTCCATTCTGTCCACATCCTTTTTGAAGTGAGGCCTCCAGAACTGCACACAGTACTCCAAGTGCGGCCTGACCAATGCAGTGTAAAGCAGGACAGTCACATCTTGCGATTTGGATGTTAGGCCTCTATTGATACACCCCAAGATCACATTAGCCCTTTTTGTCACCGCATGACACTGGCTGCTCATATTATGGTAGGGTTGCCAAATGACCCCGGGGGGTGGGGAATCCCCCGCTTCGGAGCCCCGAGTTCCGCCCCGGCGGAATCGGGGCCCGGGGGGAACCCCGCCCCCGAAGCTGACGTTTGGGGCGTGGCTGAGCTCGTGGGGGGGGGACCATATGTTCCCCCCCCGAAGAGCCCGGGCACGCCCCCAACGTCAGCAATGTCTGACATCACTTCTGGTGACGTCGCGGTGGTGCGTGCGCGCTTTGCGCGCGCGCACACACACAGCCGGCTCCCGACCGGGACAGAGCCTCCCCCGCCGGTAAGGTTTCAGGATTTGGCAACCCTATATTATGGTCCACCTGTATCCACACACACTACTAAACAGAAGTGTTTCCCCCATCCAGTATGCGTGTTCCTCATTTTTGTTACCCAGATGTAGAACTCAGCACTTATCCCTGTTAAATTGCATCTTGTTCACATCCACCCCCCTTTCCCAGTGTGTTCAGATCTCATTGAATTCTATCTCTGTCTTCTGGTGAGTGGCTGCTCCTCCTAATTTGGGGTCATCTGCAAATCTAATGAGTAGCCCCTCCACACCCTCATCCAGATAAGTTATAAAAATATTGAAAAGTACCAGGCCTAGATCTGAGCCCTGTGTCACCCCACTGGACATCTCCTTCCATTCAGATGAAATGCCATTGACAACTACTCTCTGAGTGTGGTTCTCCAACCAGTTTTTTTTCCATCTTCTGGGCATGGAACAGGGGTCACCAGGGGTGTGTGTGTGTGGGGGGGTATTTATGAATTTCCTGCATTGTGCAGGGGGTTGAACTATATGACCCTGGAGGTCCCTTCCAACTCTATGATTCTTTGATTCAGCGTAGTGGGGAGGGTGGGGTATAAATGGAATTAAATAAATAAATAAATATCCACCTAACTGCCCTAGAGTCTAGTCCACAGTCCTCTAGCTTACCTATCAGAACATCATGGGGAACCTTGTCAAAAGCTTTACTGAAATCCAGGTAAACAACATCAACAGCATTCTTTCAATCCAGTAAGCTCGTCACTTGATCAAAGAAGGAAATGAGGTTGGTCTGCCAGGACCCGTTTGGGACAAATCCGTGCTGACTTCCCCAGATCACCAAGTTGTCCTTTAGGTGCTCACAGATCGATCCCTTTAAAATCTGCCCCAGTCTCTTCCCTGGGGCAGAGGTCAGACGGACTGGCCTGTAGTTTCCTGGGTCATCCCTCCTCCCTATTTTGAAAATTGGGATAACATCTGCCCTCCTCCAGTCTTGTGGCATGTCTCCTTCCTCCAAGAGGTCTGGAAGATGATGGACAAAGGCTCTGCAAGCTCATTAGAAAGTTCTTTGAGCACTCTTGGGTGCATACCATCTAGCCCTGGGGGATTTGTACTTATTCAGTGCAGCCAGGTGCTTCTCAACTACCTCTCTGTCCATGGCAACCAGCAGCCCAGACGCCGTGCCTTGCCTACTGCCATCTCTAGATGAGCCTGTTCTGTTTTTTTAAAAATAAGCAGACTGAGGTTTGACTTCCCTTTTGATGGGGCATCCTGTTAACGCCTGAACACTGAAGGTGACACGGTTGCGTTCAGTTGAACAGAGAACTAGGAACTTGGTAATAACCAAAGTCAAGTTGCAGATGCAGGTTATAAAGCTGTGTCTGATGCAGAGGAAGAGGATGAGTTTTGCTTCCTTTCCCATAACACCTTAGGGCCACCTGATGAAACTGATGAGCACTAGATTTGGGACATGCATTGCAGAACTGGCTTGTGGAATTTACTGCCACAGGGTGAGGTTATGGTCTCTGGCTTAGATGGCTCGAAGAAGAGGTTAGACAGATCCAGTAGAGGAGGAAGAGGAGAGTGAACCTTCCTGTTGAGTTTTACCTCTCAGTTCCAGTCTCTGGGATGGAACTGTGTCTTCCGTGCTCTTCTTCTGGACTCCTGGGACCCATCTGATGCTGCTCTAGCCTCAAGGAGGTCTTGTCCAGCACCAGAACCGCTCCTCTTGAGTCCTCCTCAGCTGCAGGGCTGAGCTTCCTCCAGGCCTTCCTTTGGCTTTTTGGCTCACAGGCTGCATGTCATCCTGGGCAGCAGCTAAAGCTGGACTCTCTGACACACGTGCACTATGGCAGAGTTTAACATTTTGATGGTGAATATTTCAGCTTTCCATCTAGTATTAGTCTGTTGAGGTAAACTTAAACATGGTACCTGGGTAAGAGTTGTGTTAATTTTGGGAGCCATCAGGCCATGGATCTCTTCCCTGTCCTTCATCTTGCTTGTTTCTTTAGATAACAACAACAAAACGCCTCAGCGGAACATCTGCACTTGGATAGGGTGGAGAAGACAGCCTGATGAAGAGGGGAGGGGAGGAGTTTGGTTCTTTGCTGTTGGGTTTTCTGTTTTTATTTCATTCTTGGCAAACTTTGAAAATCCGAACATGTCTGTAACTGCCTTCTGGGGAGCCAGACCTTTAGCCCACCCGCTGCAGCTGCCAGCAGCTCTTTGTGGCTTTGGGCGGGAGGAATTCTGTCTGTCTCCCACGACTCAGTTTGAGCCTGGGACCTTCTCCACTCACTCTTCCCATGTGCTGTTCTGTAGGCCAACCAGGAGGCGGAGAGATCTTGGCAGCATTGCCAACAGCACTGTGGTGGCACCAACCATCCTTCCCACGGCGAATGCATCCGTGGCCGCCCCCGAAGGCTCCCAGGAGGCACAGCCCTTTGAGACAGAGGTTTCGAAGGAGTTCTTGGTGATCTCGAACCTGCGGCACTTCGCAGGCTACCGGATTGAGATCCAGGCCTGTAACCGCAGGGCCCCCAAGGAATGCAGCGTGGCGGCTTACATCAGCACCAGAACCATGCCTGAAGGTGAGCAAACAGTGCCTCCCCTGCCCAACAGTGGGGCTGTGGCAGTCTGCCTGCCAGCAGCACTTGGCCGGCTCCGCAAGTGACTTTCTTGACTGTGTTTTGTCACTAGCCAAAGCAGATGACATAGTTGGGCCTGTGATCCACGAGCTGATTGACAAGAGCACCATCCACCTGCGGTGGCAGGAGCCCAAGGAGCCCAACGGCCTGATTCTGCTGTACGAAGTGAACTACGGGCACCCTGGTGATCCAGAGGTGGGAGCCGTTCCCGTCTTTCCCCCGCTACCCATTATCTTATTTCTAGTTGCCTTGTGTTTGGATGTAACATCCATGGGGAAGATACTATAATCCTACTAGATGGGAACAGAGAGAAAGAGAGAGAGAGTTCCTGGGTTTACCTGGTGCAGGTGGGGTTTGCCCTGCTGAGCCAAGTCCATTGCCCTCCTTTGGGTGAGCTGCAGCTCTGCCGCATTGGGCTCTGCTGTAGTTCCCTGGTGACTGCTTCAGGAGCTGTTTGCTGGCTTATTTTGGGCATGTGAAGGGTCAGCATGTTTCTTCTGTTGCTCTCCCATCCCTTGCCACCTCCAGGAACATCACTACTGCCTATCTCGGAAAAACTTTTCCAAAGATCAGGGATGCAGGCTACGGTCGCTAAAACCCGGCAATTACAGCGTGCGCGTCCGGGCCACCTCACTGGCTGGCAATGGATCGTGGACAGAGCCTACCTACTTCTACGTTCCAGATTATTGTAAGTTAACAAGCTTCCTTGAGGCATTTCTGTGTCAATCCAAAAGTGTGGGAAGATGGATAATTATTGTTACAGTCATCGACCAGTGTAGCTAAACAACAAATGATTTACAATATTTCCGTTATAAAATCAGCTATGATTCCATAAAAAATAATAAAAGGAAAAAGGAAAAATACATAATTTTCAGATAGTAAAATCCTATATATAAAATTAACATAGATTAATAGAAGACGACAACATAACTACTTCCCCAATGAAGAACGGATAGATTTTGCTGTTGAGCAGAGTTTAGCTGCCCTCTCTGCAGTGTGATGGCGTTTATCTGCTTGGAGGACAATAAGATAATATTTTTCTGTTCTTCCTGGGAATTTTCATAGAATAGGAAGAAGCAACTCATCGCAAAGATCTTTATAAAGAGGACAATACAGAAGGTGCCCTATCATTTCCAGTTCTTGACTACTGCAGGGGCAATTCTGTTCATAATAACCAGTGGTTTTTTTTATATCTCCCATTTTAACAACTCAGAAGGAGAACATTAAATTTGCACCTGAGAAAAAGCTAATCTTGTTTCTGGAGTTATAAGATTCCCCAAATAGTTTGCTGGCGCACCTTGTTTATACTCTGTATACCTCCAAAGGTGTGGAGGGAATTATTCCCCCCCCCCCCCCGTGTTTTGTGTATCCTCCACCCCCATCGAGGCAACGTTTACACACACACCCTGGGCCCTGTGGTGGGAAGGAAAGGAGGGGCCTGTCGGCAGTGCTGGAGCCATCAGGCAGGCTGAGGGAGGGGCTTTGGGGGCAACTCTGACTGTGCATTCTCTCTTTCTTGCTCCTCCCCAGTGAACCCTCCGACTAACCTTGTGGGAGTGATCGTTCCCGTCATTTTCACTTTCTTCTTCATTGGTGTTATCATAGGAACCTACATCTTCATCAAAAAGAGGTGAGTGGCTCAGAGTTAGCCTCAAGCATAAAACCAGCTCAGAGGAGGTCAGCTGGTTCACCTGCGTTTAAGGAAACTTATGCGGAGCGACTGTTTAGGGCGAGGGGAGAGGGCAGTGTTGCTTTCTGGACACTTGGCTTTCTTGAGCCAGCCAGTCACCTTATGCTTTTCCTCAGCAGTTATTTAAGTTTTCCCACTAGGGGTTGCCAGAAGTCAACCATGACTCCCAGGCATACACAGACACACACACACAAATACTCACCAGAAAGAAAGAAAACATCTTTAAATCTTTTTTGTATGAGCGAAAGATCCCCTCTGCCCACCCCAGGCATATCTCTGTGGCTGGTGCTTTCTGGATGGTTGTGTTTGAAAGAGTTGCTCTGCAGCGTAGAACAGACAGGCAAGAAATGTCTCTTTGTGTTTGTTTCCCTTGTTCCTTTCTAGGCAGAAAGAAGGACCAACAGGGCCGCTCTATGCATCCTCCAATCCAGAGTACCTCAGTGCCAGTGACGGTGAGAAACGGGGCTTTCTGGTACTTCCACAGGGAGATGGTTCTCCATGGAGCTCTCATGGCAGAGACACTCACAGGGACAACAGGTTTCCCTGAACTTCCCTTGCCTCCCCCCCCCACCTGCCCCCCAGGGCCATCATTTTCTCCTTGTGCCACCAGAGGGCTTTTTCTAGATATTTAAAAAATGGCTAGATTGCTGTAGCGCAGTAACTTAACCATCTGCTGCCTCAGAACTGCTGCTTTCATTTTTAAGGGGAAAGGGCCTGGATCCTGGGCCTGCATTGCACATGCTCTTGTCTCCATCCGTTGCAGAGGCAGTCCTCTGGTGCTGGACACTTCTACTTGCATAAGACCAGAAGGTCTTTCCAGCAGCCGAGGAGTACCCCTGGCACAAGAAGAGCATATGTGCTCCACAGAAGGGGACCACCACCTTTGCAACCGGTGAAGAGAAGGGCATATGGAACAAAAGTGCGGAATCCAAGCCTAGATCTCTGACCCTTTTCATTGCAGATTCACAGCACAAAGGGCTATGGACTGGTTTTAAAATGGAAGCTATTAGATTGTATCAAGGCTAACTTGTTGTATCATTTCTGCACTATAGCAATCTAGCAGTTGCTAATTTCGTTCTAAAGCCGGTGGGTGTGGCAGGAATGGTGACTGTTGGGGGCAGGGACTTCCCATCCATGTGGTGTGCAGGGGCCCTTGCAGGCTTTCCAAAAGGGTCATCTCAAACCAGGTCTAAGAAAGATCGCAACAAAGTGGTAAAAAAGGAATGGTATGGGGCAGGGGTTGTTTGGGGCCGGAGCGTGCCGGAGCACCACTCTGGCAGCCCAGGAGCAGGCACAAATGGCGGTGGTGGCAAGCCCTGCCCCTAGCTCCCCAACCTCGCGCTCCTTCTTTCTAGAGTACAATAGAAAGGTCGTGCCACCGCTGTGGTGCAACTCCATAGAGAAGAGGTTGAAACTTTAAACCCCTTCTCTCTTCGCTTCCCCCCCCCCCCCAGCCTGCCTTGGCAGGCCGGCGGGGGAAGGGAAGGGGAGGCTTTTGAAGATCCCCCCTTTTGCCTCCCCTTCAGACATAATTTCAGGTGATGTCAGGGTGTGTGGCATATGCTAATGTGCTATTGCGTTAATAGCCTATTAGGTATGCTAATGAGCTCCTGCAGCTCTTTTTCTACGAAATGACCCCTGGTTAGGGGGATGATGCTGTGTGGACACTCCCCTGCAAACCCCTTTCAGTTTGGATGCCAAACCAAAGCCAGCCCTTCTGTTGTTCAGGAGGCCATGAACCAGATTTTTGTGAGCAGTTAGAGAGCCTGGGCTTCCTCCCCAAGAGCAAGAGGATCCAGGGGTTTGGGAAATGCTTCCCGTCCAGCAGTGTCATCTCCGCAGCTTTCCTCTGCTTCCCCAGCCAATCCATCCAGTTCGGCCGCAGTCTTGACTTTGGCCAGCTCCCATGAGACCCTCAGATGCCCTCCCGGCATCCTTGGCTCCTTCGGCCTCCCGCTCGACAGGCTCTCCAGCTTTTCTGCTGGGCTTCCCACTCATCCCTGAGTGGTTTTCCATTTAGGGAACCACTTTGAGGCAGACTAAGCTTGGGGGAGGGGGGAGGAGTCCCAAGTGGGGAGCAGCTGAGGAAGGAGAGCTGTGAACAGAAGGGAGGAACGGAGAGCAGAAAGGGAGTCGTGCAAAACGGGGAGGGGAAGGGCCAGAGGAGGGTCCCAGAGGAGAGGAGGCAGGAGCCAAGAGCGGCCAGAAGGGCCTCGCAGCCCTAGAGTCAGCAGGGTGGGGCCAAGGGGGATGCTTGGAAAGTCTGGAAAGGAAGAGGTGGTGGGATTTGGTGTCGCCTGACTCACACGTGCACCTCTGAGACTCCCTGGAGTCTGCACATCCTTGAGACGGAAAGGCGGGGGGCTGGGAGAGGGGGAAGGTGGTACAAAGATCAGGGCGCTTCCTTCTCTGCTTTGGACTGCCGTAGCACTTTGGTGTGGGAGGAAGCGTTGTGCTGGCTGGATGTCCACCTTGTTCTGGCCAGGCCAGGGGTCCAGCTGGCCAAACTGCAGCCTCTGCTCCTGGCTGTGAGGTGGTTTGCTGGAGAGCGTCTTTTCCCCCTCCCTCCCTGATTGCAGTTTACGTCCCTGACGAGTGGGAAGTCCCCCGAGAGAAGATCTCTCTCCTGCAGGAGCTGGGCCAGGGCTCCTTTGGCATGGTGTACGAGGGGAACGCCAAGGACATTGTCAAGGGTGAGGCGGAGACCCGGGTGGCAGTGAAGACGGTGAACGAGTCCGCCAGCCTGCGGGAGCGGATCGAGTTCTTGAACGAGGCGTCAGTGATGAAGGGCTTCAGATGCCACCACGTGGTGAGGAAGGCCACTGCGCCTGGGCTGAGAGGAGGGGTGTGGCCCAGGAAAGCCTTGGGAGGGTCCAGCAAGCACTTCCTGGGTTGTTTCCCTGGGGCTCCGGGATTCACTCCCCTGGGGGACTCACCCGGCTCCTTCTCTCCTCTGCCTTTTCGCTGCTGGACAGCCCACCATCTGCGGCTTCTCTGCTTGTCATTGACCCAACCAGTGCTGCTCTGACCGGAGCGTGAGAAGGACTCAGTAGTTCTCGCTTGATAATGTGCAGTTTGGAAAATGCTTTGAGTGAGGGGTCACTCCTGGACACCCCCCAAAAAAAACCCAGAGGTTTGAGTGGAGCACTGATAGCAGGCCCTCTTTGGGTCAGAACTCAGACTGAGCCATTCTCTGTCTCCTGAGCCATCTCTAACTTGTGTCTGCAGCAGAAGCCTTGTCGGGTTGTGACTCTTCATGGCGGGAGTTGCGAGGAAAGGTGGGTGGGCTTCAGCTCCTTCTGCATCTTGAAATCTGACTCTCCCACTGCCCTTCTTTTGTCAGGTCTGCCTCCTGGGGGTGGTGTCCAAAGGGCAGCCCACCCTCGTCGTCATGGAGCTCATGGCCCACGGGGACCTGAAGAGCTATTTGAGGTCCTTGCGCCTTGATGCCGAGGTAACCATGTGGGCGTGATGGGTAGTGGGCAGCTGGGGGCAAGAAGAGGCAGGTCTCTGCTCCTCAGGGCCCTCCCTCCCTTTGTGGTGGGCAATCAATGTTCCCTCTAACCTCCACATTGTTGTGAATAGAAATTCTACCTTATGAGCAAAAAAAGCTAGCTAGCAGCATTAAAGTTGTGTAGCAAGACTACGATTGACTTTTGCGTAAATTATTTTTTAGGAGATTATTTCCATAATCTTGTCCAAATCTCAGAATGCTTTTAAACTAAATTTAAACTATATGTTAAGATTATTTTAAACATTATAAGAGAAAACAGAATCAAGGCAAATTTCATTACACAAAAAAGTTGTCCTCTACAGGGGTAGACCAGTCCTCCAGAGAACAAGTCTATCCACACCACCATATGAGTAGATCAGTCCTCTGGAGAACAGGTCTACCCACCCCTTTCCACTATATTGGTAGACCTGACCTTTGGAGAACAGGTCTACCCACCCCTTTCCACTATATTGGTAGACCTGACCTTTGGAGAACAGGTCTACCCCCCAAGTCAACTATATTGGTAGACCTGGCCTTGGACCATCGCCCTGCACTGACCCTTAGAAAACATATCAGCACTTGGGCAGGGGGGAACTCTTGCAGTCTTCTTTGTTTTTTTAGTGAAATATGACAACTAGCATTACAGGTCAAGTATAACAGAGATGGAACAATAACTGTCAAAACACTGCCCAACCTAGCAAACAGGAAGTTGCTTAAATGTTATCAACCTGCCCAAACTACTTACTTATTCGGCTATTTATATCCCACTTTTCCCCGTGACTCAAGGCAGGTTACAACTCATACTGAAAAGCAAAACTGAGGTGTGCAAAAAAAATGGTTTTCTTCTGGCTCAATTATAGCCCATGGGGACCATTATAGTCAATGGTTCCCATAAGCTATAACGGAGAATCAATCCAGGGGTATTTGGGACTCTGGAGGGGGGCCCGTTTTTTGAGGTAGAGGCACTAATTTTGCAGCACAGCTGCTAGTGCCTCTCCTTTTAAAAAAACCTCAAGTTTCAAAAAGATTGGATCAGGGGGTCCAGTTCTATGGGCCTCCGGAAATGCCCCCATTCTCCATTGTTTTCTATGGAAGTTTGGTTGTGGGCTGAAACAGAAATCCTCTGAGCTGGCCTCTGGACTGTTGTGCGCCAGGACCCCCTAGCGCAGCTTAGAGGGAACTGTGGTAGGCATACTTTTTTCCTGGGCTTTTCAGAACAACCCTGGCCGTCCACCACCTACGCTTCGGGAGATGATCCAGATGGCTGCAGAGATTGCTGACGGCATGGCTTACCTGAATGCCAAGAAGTTTGTCCACCGGGACCTGGCGGCCCGGAACTGCATGGTGGCAGAAGACTTCACAGTCAAAATTGGAGGTACTAGGCGACAGGATGGGGGTGGGGAAAACTTCACACTAGGTGTCCCCCTTCCCCAGTGGGTCCTGGATGACTGAGCAGTTGGCGCTGGGCAGAGTAGGAACATTGAGTCTGCAGAGGAAGGACTTCCCCACCCCAGCACTTTTCCAGATTTGGAGTTCCCAGAATCTCCCCAGCTTTCAGACAGATCTGGGGGGGGGGGGGGATCTTCATTCCCAGTGTCACTACCTGAGAGCGTAGCCGGCGCATCTTCAGTGACTTCAGTGACCTTCTCTGCCCTCAGACTTTGGCATGACCAGGGACATCTACGAGACGGACTACTACCGCAAAGGGGGGAAGGGCCTCCTGCCAGTGCGGTGGATGGCCCCGGAGTCCCTGAAGGATGGTGTCTTTACGGCTTGTTCTGACGTGTGGTAAGTGGAGCTCTGTCCTGGGAGCGCCTTGGGTGTGGTAGGGTGCCAGAGGAGGGCTTGGCCTGCCGTGGGGCTCCCTGCTTCTGACTCCGACTCTTCCACAGGTCCTTTGGGGTTGTCCTCTGGGAGATAAGCAGTTTGGCGGAGCAGCCTTATCAAGGCCTCTCCAATGAGCAAGTCCTGAAGTTTGTCATGGACGGCGGATGCCTCGAGAGGCCGGAAAACTGTGCCGAACGGCTGTAAGTCTCAGGAGCTTGTTGCGGAGTGGCAGAGAATCGGGCCCTAAATTCCATGCCAGGACAGCTGAACCAGGAAGCGGGTCCTGTCTTTTCCCCATCAATGAGTGGGGGTGGGGGAAATCCAACGTCCCTCCCGTCAGTGGGTCTTTCCCCCCACTCCAGTGAGAGCGACGGGGGGAGGGAGCGTACGCAGATGATGGAGGGGGGTGCTGGGTCTGATCCTGTAAGGGTGCTGCGCAGATGGAGTAATTTGACCTGGTGCAGAGAAACGTAGAAGCGGAGCTCTGGAAGGGACCTCCAGGATCACCAGTCCCCCCGCACCACGCAGGAAATTCACAGCTACCTCCCCGCCACACACTCCCCCAGCGAAACCCCCCTCCCGCTCTCTGTGCCCAGAGGAAGGCAGGAAACCTCCAGGATTCCCGAGCCAGTCGGGCCTGGAGAACGATTCCTTCCTGACTCCAAAGTGGTGATCAGCACTACCCTTGGCACACAAGGGTGGGCCACGAGAGCCGAACATCATCGGCCGCCCGTCCCTTCCCGCCCCTCACGATCTGCCTAAATTCACAGAATCTGCTTAAGATCCTCCGAAGGAGGAGAGCCCACCAGAGCCAAGGGCCAGGGTTAAAACTGTGGAGGGTTGGGTAGGAGGCAAGGCCGGCCCGACTGCCAGAGGCTGACCTGGCCGCGTGTGTGTTTCTTTGCGTCTGGTTCCAGCCACAGCCTCATGCAGATGTGCTGGCAGTACAACCCCAAGATGCGCCCCTCCTTCATCGAGATCATCGAGATGCTGAAGGACGACCTCCACCCGGCCTTCCAGGAGGTCTCCTTCTTCTACAGTGACGAGAACAAGCCCCCTGAGACAGAGGAGTTTGAGATGGACTTTGAGAACATGGAGAGCATTCCTCTCGACCCAGCCTCCTACACACAGCGGGACGAGGTCTCGGGGCGAGACGGTGGGCCCTCCGTGGGGCTCAAAGGGAACTATGAGGAACACATCCCTTACACTCACATGAACGGGGGCAAGAAGAACGGCCGCATCCTCCGCTCAAGCCCTTCCTAAGACTGGCGGCATCTCTTTTTCTCGCTCTCCCCCTGCCCCCGGGGTGGGGTGGGGGCCCTTTCTTTCCTTCACCAAACTCAGGACTTGCAGTGTTGCTGCCCCACCACCTACGAGACACACAGACTTGCTTTCTAGTCAAATTTTGAGTCACCCAGAAATTATGATTGTGGCGGGGGGGGGGGAGGTCTGCTTGTGTCCCTTTTTTTGTCAACTGGCTGTTGATGGACGCCTCTGTGAAGCACAAACTGACCCTGCCCGTGGCTGCCAACCCGCTCCGGTTTTGAGGCTGGGACTGACTGTCATGCAACGAGGAGGATGCTGAAGAGAAGGAAGAGCCTCAGACGGCCTCCCACCCCGGCCGTGAGGATTTCAGGTTCTTTTCAGAGTGTTCTCAGCCAGCTCCTCCCCCCCCCCCAGCCTTTCCTTCCGCCTGCCCCCTTTCTGAAGGGGTTCTCATCACTGGCGTCAGAAATGCGGAAGGATCTGCAAGACGTGTCCGGTGGGCATTTGCCCCCCTCCCCTGGAGCTGACCAACGGCTGCTGCTTTCCCTCTTGCCGGGTCGGGGTGCAGGCAGGCAGGCAGGCAGATGTGTTTCGAGTGTGTGTGTGTATGTGTGTGTGTGTGCGCATAGGTGTGAGGCAGCAGTGGGTGTCGCTGGGTCTTTTGTCACAAGCGTTCCACCAGCTTCCTTCTCCCCCCCCCCCGCCTGAATGAATCTCTACCCTGCATTCGGCGGCCAAAGGAGAGGCCGAATGATTTGGGATGTTGCCGGCGCTTGTGTCCAGGACTCAGTGGGGCCCCAGGAGCCCAGGCGACCTCTCCCCTTCCGCGCCCTCCCCAGCCAGGCCCTTGGGCTCCACTTGCGCAGCACTCACTGTCGTCTGACCGCGACCCATGGAAGCCTCCGCTGTGTCCCTCCTGTAACTTATTGATGCCTTTGACCTCTTGTTGGCTTTTCCCGAGGGGGGGGGAAGGGGCTTGGCCTCTCCACTGGTTTTGCCCCCCCAGCCCACGTGCCTCTTTGGCCTGCCGCCAGGGGCAAGAGAAGATCCTGCTCATGGGAGACAGCCGCTCCCCTCTTCTGTGCGGAGGAGAGTCTGAGGAGGGACGCATGACCCCTGCAGCCCCGCCCCCTCCCCCTCGTGAAGCTCGGCCTGCTCCCAGGAGGCCCATGCTGCCCAAGAGCCAGGCCCCTCAGACTTGTCTGGCTCAGAGCCCAAAGTGGGTCCTGTTGCGTCGGGGCACAGGTCCATCTCGCTGAGCCACATGGCCTGAAGGCACACCCAGCCATGGTGGGGAGGGGGGCGGGCAGGGAAGTCATTTAGCTCTTTAAGGTGAGTAACGTCCTTGGGCACAGCCGTCTAAACACCCGCCGTTTTTCTGAAGGGAGGCAGAGGGAAATGGCAAGTTTTTACTCCGGGTTTTGGAAAGCCTGGCCTTGCTTTGCAGCAGTCGGTGGGGGGGGAGTGAATCCAGAGCGTGTGACTCCCCTTTTCCTGCATAGGTTGCGTGTCCATATTTCCCTTGCCGTTTCGTCCCTCTGAGGGCTCTCCTCTCCGAACGGCGCACTTTTACTCGCTTCTTCCTAGCAATGTGTTTCTCCCCACAGCCTCATTGGAACATCCCCCCCCCCCAGCCACGTTTCAGTTGCTCTGCAACATAATAAGAGTGTTGTTCTGCAACATAATAGGGGGTCCGCCTCTCTGGGTGGGAAACGCCATCACCAGATTGCTTTTTTCCTGCCTATCTTCTAAATCAGCTCTTAAAAGCTTGTTTCCATTTAATGTGAATCATTGTGTTGAGAAATGGGGGGGAGGGGTCCCCAGGACTTTTCAGGCTGCGTAAAATGGCTTGATTTAAGCAAAAGCCAGAACTCGGTGGGGTGTGGCTGTCTCTGTCTTGTCCTCACCTTTGGGATCTCAGTGAGGATACATTGACGGTGATTTTTGCATTCCTTTAAGAATCGTTAAGCTTCAACTAAATTTGAATTTGGGGAGGGGTGGGGGAGGAATGGGTCTTGGCTGGGGGGAGGGATCCGGAAGGATCCGGTGTTCTAGAATGTGGGGTCCCGAGACAGCTGGTCTCGGGGAGGAGGGGTTACACAAGAGTAGTCCAGCACTGCCCAAATGAGCCCGTGTACCATGGAATGGAGCCGTCCAGCATGAGGTGAGCCTTGGGGGGTGGGGGGGCAGGCATTTCGTGGGATCTTGTGCCAAACCTCTTTTTCTTCAGGAGATTTTGAGAGTGTGGGGCTGGCGGAGAGGATGCATGGGCAGGCTTTTCTGGAAAGGCTCACAGAACTGCAGTGGGAGTTTCAGGCAGTCTGGGAATTCAATGGCTCTGTTCCGCTGGCCACGCTGCTCTTTCCCAAGGCAAGCGGTTCCATGGGAGGGCTCGTTGCAGGGAAAGCCCCTTCTGGCAGAACAGATGTGCAGGATCCAACCCAGCCCTCCCCTTACTCCTTAGGTTCTCTTCCCTTTCCCCAACAGTGTAGCTTTCTCTGCTCACCTGTCCGATATAGCACCAAGAACAGGCCCCCCCCCCCGCAAGAGCACTCACCCTGCAGAATGGGCCTGGGCCTTGGCTCACCCCAGCGCTCTGGTGACAGGGGCAGGGCTGCGGCTGACTTCTTCTTCCTGCTTCTGTAGTTTGGGCTGGTGGTGGGGTGGGGACATCGCCGCTCCTGAGAAGGTGCATGGCACCCCTTGTGGCATGCCTGGCCGAGGAGTTGAGTGTGCTCCCTTTGAGGGAGGCCGCTGTCTATGTGGCCCCATCGGCCCAGCCTTCAAGGCTCCCTGGTGGAAGGCCACGCCAGATTGCCTGTTGGAATGTGACTCTGAAGCCAGACCCTTGGAACTCCCTAGCCTGGGTGTCGCCGCCCCTGCAGCAGCAAGAGTTCCTCCAGCCTTGGGTCCTCTTGCCTGTGAGCCAAGAACTGCTGCCTTCGTGCGGGGAATCTGACAGGGGGGCTGTTTGGTGCACTCCGCAGCAGCGGCCACGCTGGCCTTTTCCAGGAGCCGGGGGAGGAGGAGGTGTTGCAAGTCAGTCTGGAGCCCGAGTTCAGTTCAGCTGTCCCTTTGCGATGGGCTTTTCCTGCCTGCTGACTGTGTGCAAACACGTCTTGGGTGATCATGTGTGAACTGCCACTGCAACGCTGCGTTTGTGCTGTTTCGCCTGCTCAGTCGTCCCGGAAACTGGCAACAGAGGAGCAGTCATCCTTCACAGAGTTCTGGGGGTTTTGGCTCCAGCCTTTCAAAACTCTTGTCGCCAGTGCTGGCTTTGGAATGCTTCATCTGGACCCTGCAGCATGAAGGGAGGCCAGCCGCTCCCAAGGGGCCCTGCTTCTGCCTGTGGCCTGGGACCGCTTGGCTGAGCGGGTGGGACTTTGCGCACCTGATCCGAAGGCCGCTCCCCAAGAGCTGCATTCTTTCCCCCCCTTCCCCCCCCCCCAATAAAAAGCCTGAAGCAGTTCTTAGAAGCAAGGCTGTTTTTTCCTCTGCCCCACCAATGTGAATCGTGCCACTGATGCACAGTTACTTGTGCTGAGTTTCATTTTCATAGGCCAATCAGTTGTCTTAAAGCCATCAGGCAGGCCCTTTTCTGGGAAGATCTGTACTCTAGAAAATGTGCCAATCTGAAAAGTCGGGCTCGCTTCCCCTGTCGGAAAGCGGTGCTTTGTTCAGAGAGCAGGTGAATAGTAGCCAAGGAGGACCCGCCAGCCGCAGCTGCCTTCTGGGGCCCCACTCACCTCGGGGGGGCCCTTGCTCCTCTGTGTCCACCTCAGGGCTCTGTGCGAGGGCAGACGGTCCCAGAACACAGAGTGTGCTTCTTCTTCTTCATCATCTTTGGCAAAGATCCCTCTCCCTTAATTTAAAAGGATCAAAATGTGCCATGGGGGGGAGGGAAGACTAAAACAGAAAATCCCCACTTGATTTATTTTTTCAGTGCTTTTCATATACAAGCCAAGCAGTGATGTGTACAGAGAGTATCTTTGGATATAAAGCAAAACCCTTTTTTTGCTGTGTGTAAAATATTGAATGATTAAACTGTTTATATTTTAAGAAATCTGAATAAATTATCCAGGAATATCTCTTGACTTGGGGGCCGGTCTCTCTTATTACGTCTGTTAACCGTGTCCACGTCCTTTCCCGAGCAAAGGGTAGGGAAGGATCCACAGCAGTTCCCAGCAGCAGGGCGTGTGAGTGCTGCAGACCCCTTTCCCGGCAGCTCTTTGGTAGTTAAAGTAAAGGTAAAGGTTCCCTTGCTCAAAAGCCAGTCGAATCCGACTCTAGGGTTGCGGTGCTCATCTCCGTTTCAAAGCCGAAGAGCCAGCGATGTCCGAAGACGTTTCCGTGGTCATGTGGCCGGCATGACTAAACCCCAAGGCGCACGGAACGCTGTTACCTTCCCACCGAAGTGGTACCTATTTATCTACTTGCAATTTCTTGCGTTCGAACTGCTAGGTTGGCAGGAGCTGGAACTAGAGACGGGAGCTCACTCCGTCTTGCGGCACCCGGGTCTCGAACTGCTGAACTACTGACCTTCCACAGCCTGCAGTTCAGCGTCTTAACCACTTGAGCCACCGTTGGGCAGGCGCAAATAGGCTTTTGGGGTGTCCTGGGTGTCATCCAACCTCACCACCCTCAGAGGAAAGGCAGAGATGGGCTGCAGGTCCCCGGTTTCTCCCCCTCCCCACCAGGAAGTTCTCCCGGCTAACCTTGCGGTCAGGAATTTGAGCAGGCTCATCCGCTCTGTAGTGGAGGACGGGGTTCCACTTTCCCGGCTCAGCAGGCTGATCCCGCAGATCTGTTCTGCTTCTTGGCACTTTCCTTGGACAGAAGGGACCCTTCCTTCCATCCGGGAAAGGCTCCTTCCCCTGTAGGAGAGTGCCACTGCCGGTACAAAGAGCTACGGGATCCAATCCAGTGCTTAACCAACACCTTGGCAGGGGGTTGGGCTGTGTCACAAGGAAGTGGAGGCCTCCAAAAAAAAACACCCTGAACTCTTATCTCCTGTGTATCCAGGTATCTTTTGAGGCAGTGTCTGGCCTCTGATGCCCTTGGAACGGCAGCCCCATGACCCCACCAGACTGGATAAACAGCAGCTTCCAGAGTTTCCAGCAGTTTGGGGCAATCTGGGAGCTGATATGCAGGAAAGAGAATATTGGGGGGAGGGGAGTCCAGCCTAGCAGGGCTGAGAAGGGAAGGCTCCGTTCTTGAGAATGAGAGCCACGGTTTGGACTTGCCATCCCAAGCAGCAGGTCAGCCTGCTTTTGTGACCGAAGTCAACCGACTGCCCCAAGGACCGAACTGCACAGCCCCGGGGGGTGGGGGGGGGGAGATGGCAGTGCTGGTGGGTTCTCTTGGAGTTAACCTTGTCTGCTTACCACGGCCAAGGCAGCTGGGGCCATGGGGACCTAGAGCTCCCCCACCACCACCCTTGGAGCGTGAGGCGCTCTGGCCAAGCCTTGCGTCACCTTTCTGGGGGCTGTTTCTCTGCTGCTCTTCTGAGCCAGGGCTTTGCGTGATTTGTTTATTTAGGGGCTTCATTTATAGTCTGCCTTGACAGTTGAGATTCAAGGCTGATTGCAGAGTCAGAAAACAGAACAATACAAAAAGGCCAGGGTAATACAGACAACAAACAGTTCAATAAAACTGGGTTACAAAAATTAGAGGACAATGAAATGAAAGCAGTTTAATGCATCTAATAAACAATGCAATATTTTTTGAAAACTGCCTAATGTTTCTTCACGAGCACTAAAACCACACCTCTGCTCCCTTTATAAGAAGTGTTCTTCTGAACAATACCATTTTCGTGCTGCCTAATTCCCTTCATAAAAGGTATTAACCAAAACCTTGACTTGAACCTGGCAACTATTTGGTAACCAGTGGAGCCACCACACAGAGAATGGGTGTATTCTGCGTGGCTGTGCCCAGCAGTTGACAGTAGTTGAGCCTGTGGCATTTTGTATCAGCAGCACAGAGGTCTTATTTTTTGTGATCCATGAAACAGCGATCCCGGGGACTGAGCATGGGAGGGGCCTTCTGCAGGAAAGGAGGACGTTCTACCCAGGTATCCTGGCCGCTCTTGACACGCAGAGAGGAGGGGGGGGTGGCCCACAGACCAGTCAAGCCAGTCATATTCCAGAGAGGCAGCCATGACAGTCTGTGGCAGCAAAATAAACTGGCAGCACCTTCACGGCTAGCCAACCACCAGAACAAAGTTTGAGTCCAAGGGCAGCAAATACACACAGAAGCTTCTACCCAGAACTCAACTGTATTGGTCTTAAAGGTGGTGCCGCTGGACTCATAAGAACATAAGAGAAGCCAGTGTTGGATCAGGCCAGTGGCCCATCCAGTCCAACACTGTGTCACACAGTGGCCAGAAATACCAGTGCCATCAGGAGGTCCACCAGTGGGGCCAGGACATTAGAAGACCTCCCACTGTTGACCCCCCCCCCCAGCACCAAGAATACAGAGCATCACTTGCCCCGGAGTCCCTATCTATACCTTGTGGCTAATAGCCACTGATGGACCTCTGCTCCATATGCTTATCTAATTCCCTTTTGAAGCTGTCCGGTGGGATCTTGTGGGACATGAAGGGGCAGCTGGAGTCCTGCGCAGATCCAAGAAGAGGCAAGGCTTCTGTGTACAGCAGGGGGCTGTCTGCAGGCTGACACACACAGGAGTGAGGGGAGGAGTGTGAAAACATAAGAGAAGCCGTGCCGGATCAGGCCAGTGGCCCATCCAGCCCAACAATCTGTGTCACAGAGTGGCCAAAACCCAGGGGCCATCAGGAGGTCCACCAGCGGGGCCAGTGTTGCAGGTTTGCCTTCCTGGAATCTTTCTCCAGGATCAGCAGACTGCCCGCAAACACCTACTTACTGGTCTGATGCAAATCACACACACGCCCCTCACACACACACATACAAGAAGTAAACTTTTAGACAATGTGCTTTTGACAAGGCGTTCCTGTGCATGAATTTTCCGCACATCCCCCGAGGCACAAGCCCACTGGACTGCTCTGGCTGAAAAGGGGGGGGTGTCTGCTGTCAGCTTCTGCCCCAGAGAACAGCCTGATCCTCTGCATCCCTTCCCAGACAGCTGCTTGGCACCAGACCTGTTCTTGGCGCCTTGTTCTGCCTCCCTCTCTCCCCTGCACCAGAGACATCGCAGACACCCTTGCCTGCCTGAAAGGAAAAGTGGCTTGGCCGGCCGGTCAGTAGCCAAGCGGAAGCGGCTGCTCTGTCCCTTTTCGCAGCACCTGCCCGCGAGTCTCCGCTCTTCTCGAGACCTGTATGCAGCAAGCTTGTTTTCTGGAATCTGGCCGCTGGTTCCTCCTTATCAAACCGTTTTAAAATTTTCCTTTCACTCGGGTTTGGAAGGGCACAAAAGTCCAGGGTTTCCATCCACACAGCAAGGATTTTCCATTTCCCCGGCATTGCCGCTGCCAGTGCAGAGGCATTTGCACTGACACTTTCCGCATTTATTTTATTTTTATTTATTTGATTTATTTGATTTTTATCCCGCCCTCCCACCTGCGCCAACTCCGATATGGGAAACTTCTATCAAGCTCAGAAAGATCTGGAGCCCCCCCCCCCCCCCCCAAACCGGCGCCGGGAGTGCGCAGGAACTCCACCATGCATGCTCAGAGGGCGGGGCTCCAGTATCCCGCCAGTTCTCTTCTGACCACTGTGCTGATCGGTCAATCTGCTTCGGTCTGGGAACTTCTTTTACGTGGGAAAGTTCTCTTTAGTTTTCTCTCTCTTCCTAACTCAGCTCTTTGTCCCTTTTTATTTTTCTTCGCTAAAAACAACAACAAAAAATAGTTTTCTTCTGTTTTTTCTCCAGCTTTTGTCGGACCCTTCCCCCGCAAACTTTTCCAATCGGTTTTGCCCTCTCATCTATGGCAAATCACTGGGGGGGGGGGGGGGGGGTTAAGCATTGCACTCAGTGCGGGTACAAGCTTGCTCCACCAGACGGTCACACCTTGTGCCTCCTCTGTCTCCGTGAAGCACATAGAACAGATACTTGTGTTCGCTGCGTGAAGTTTTCCAACCAGACCCGGAAAAACAGCGGCCAGGCTTCAAGCAGCCCTCCTGGAATCATCTTCTGGCTCAACGGGCACACGTTCTGGCTATGCTGGCACGACTTCTGCGGGTGTCATCTCTCGTCACAGCCCTCCAGATTCAAAGACTTCTAGGGCTGATGTCCACAATGACAGGGGTACTTCCCTTAGCGAGGCTTTGCATGTGTCCCCTTCAACTCTGGTTTGTCAGGACATTCAAGCCTACCGAGCACTCACAGACAAAATGCCTTCTATTGCCGACCAATGTGAAAGATGTTCTCCATTGGTGGGAATATGTTCCCAACCTTGTGACGGGCCCCTTTCCTTCCGCCGACACCTACAGTTACTGTCATCATGGATGCATCCCCGTGGGGTTGGGGGACGCATCTGAATGGACGTGTACAGTGGGAACCCGGAGTACAGAACTCCCACATCAATTTTCTGGAGCTACTGGCAATCAAGTATGCCCTTCGCTCCTTCTTACCGATGGTTGTGGGAAAGACAGTGGCGATTCTAACAGACAACACAACCGCCCTCACCTATGTAAACAGACAAGGAGGCACTGTGTCGCGCAGCCTTTGTTCCCTGACCCCTGGCTCTATGGGACTGGCGTCTCCTTCACACAATTTGGATGTCAGCAACCCACCTTCTGGGCATTCAGAACATTCAAGCGGACACTCTCAGCAGAGGCAGTGTGCAACTGCACGAATGGGAACTAAATTGGAGATCTCTCTGGCCAATTTTTCAATGATGGGGAATCCTCAAGTGAACGTTTTTGTGACTCGACTGAACTCCAAATGTGCCCAGTTTTGCGGCGGGGGGGGGGAATGGACCCTCTCTCTTTGGGGAATGAGCTTTTAATCCCCTGGACAGGGAAGTCACTGTATCTTTTCCCACCAATTCGGCTTCTTTTTTTTTTGGTAAACAAATTTTTATTATTTTCCATACAAGTTTTACATTTAACCATTTCCAATTTTCCATTGTTCACCCATACCCAGTTCCTCCCCTCC